TGGGGGTATATGGGGATCTTATTATAATATACCCAAAGCCATATTCTATCTACTTAAGGGGGACTATACCCTGTTGTATTATAGTAGTTTCCATTTTCTTTTCCATTATCCCAAGATAAACCCAATATAATCCCCAGAATCCCTATATAACCCCTATAATCCTTATATAACCTTATAATCCCTTTATAAGCCTTATAATCCCTATATAACCCAATATAACCTCAATATATATTCGATCACCTGGCTCAGGACACGTACAAAGGCCTGTCCGTTGCCGTTGGTGGAGCCCAAAGCTACGCAGTCATGCAGCAGCGCCACCCGTGATGCTGGAATGCGGATATCACACTGATGTGAAGCTTTCCAGTCTCAGCGTGATGCCGGGATGAATTTGACAAGAAGCTCCGCCCTTAAAATCATAGCGGGTCGCAGGGGTTCCTGTAGATGCAAAGTCTTCTCACACTGTCCTTTTACGGCTTGCGCGTTTACTTTGCTCGTGGCATAGGTGGTGGGGAGATAAGGCCTCCAAAAATTAAAAACGATTTGAATCAGCATGCAGTATGTAGTTCTGATACCTCCAAGTGCATTTTGACGACACATGTGTGCTCTACATCGTCAGACACGCAAGGGCAAGGAGTTGTCTCACCCAGTCCATGAAAGGGTTGTAACAAATGCGGAAGCTTTAGTGCTTGATGTTTGTGTGATTTAACCCTTCCGCGGGCAGCTACATGTCTGTGCGTGCAGTAGTTGTGCAGATCTCGCATGGCAGCTGGAGGATATGTCCATCAGCGTGCCTTGCAAGCGTACAGATTTGTTGCAGAAACTCCAGCAAGACCAACACAAATCAGCGTGCAACGAATTGACTGCATTTTCATATGCAGCCTTGTTCAGCTTGCTGCGCCGTTGTGCTTGGATGGCTCAAGGCTACGCCTTGTTTAGAGATGAAATAGGCAATTCTTACCCCATACGGGAATCGTAGAGATTGCATGGGAGCATCATCCACGAGTGAAAGCAGTGAGGGAGCGTTTTTGATAGGGCTCAGTTGCTCCGTGCCTCGTTTCATGCTCACTTCCTGTCGGCTGTGGCTTGCACAGGTGGGCTGATGGCTTTTAGTATAGTATAGTAGTTTCCATTTTCTTTTCCATTTTCCGAACATAACCCAATATACTACAGTAGTTTCCATTTTCTTTGCCATTATCCCAATGTAACCCGTCAAGCCCCAAGCTGAGGCGCCTGAAGATCTCATGGCGGCAACATGGATTCAGTGAGGCAACGTGCGAAACTTTCACACGCTTCACAGGGCCAGTCCCACAATCCGTCGTCAGGATTACGTCAGCTGTGGTCCCAGCCGTGGGCTGAGCTTTCCTAGTTTGCTGTTTGGACGATCTGCGGCATTGGCAAGGCGGATGCTGTTGTACACGAGGCCCTGCAATCATGTGCTGTGACTTGCAAGATGTTTGTGTCTGACTAATATGAATCGGCGCGATGACGGCAAACAGGTGCAAGATGGGACACAAGAGAAACAGGAACAGGAGCAGCCTTCTCAAGAAGGAGGTCAACTGAAGGCCTTGCAATGATGCTTTGAGTTGAGCTTGTGCATCGAGTAGGGCCCGCACAGGCCTTCGTGTGCTCGGATGAGTTTGAGATTGCTTGCGGGTGTGCAATTTGCTACAGCGTCTTTGCCGCTCACCTAGGTCCGCTGCTGCCCTTGCACGCAAGGAGATGTATACAATTTTCGAACTCTATCTCAATGCCATAGTATACTCTAAGAAGCAACCAGTACTATAAGGAAGTGGACGCCATGTTTTATTTTCGGATACCATCAGATACAACAAGCAACATATGAGCTATAGTCTAAACTCCTTAAAGGGGGTTTATATTGGGACTACTATAGGGGTTAATAAGGGGGATACTAGGAGTTAGGACAGTAGCTCAAATGCTGTACGTGCCAGCTCCTCCCAGGTCATTTGCTTGCAGACGGACAGCGTGGACTGGCCCTTCATAATACAATTCTCGGAAAGCCTGGCGTGGAACCCAGAGCTTGGGGGTTAAGTCCTTTTTAGGGTTTAGGGTTTAAGGGTTTAGGGTTTAGGGTTATATCGAGGTTTCCCAAATTAGGATGTAGCCCGACACAGTACAACCCTTGTTGCAATGACCCTGATTTTGAACACTGTCACTTGGATGTTCATGGGTAGGTTGATATGAAGGGCTCAGGAAGTTTTCAAGAAGGAGAGAGCTGGCGGTTCTGAAATATTAGGGCCACCGCGATGAATTTCCATGTTTTTCTACGTACTCAGATAACTGCACCGAAGCCCTAAAGCCCTAAACCCGAAACCCCTAGACCCTAAACCCCTAAACCCTAAACCCTAAACCCTAAAAGCCCTAAACCCTAAACCCCAAACCCTATCTACTTGAGAACCTCCATCTTAAGGCGCTGGCTCCCGGCAGCTTTCAGTTAAGCCTTGAGTGAGCTGAATTTAAGGTTTAGGGGTTTAGGGTTTAGGGTTTTTCTGTCCCATTCTCCCAATATAATACAACCCCAATATACTATAGTAGTTTCGATTTTCTTTTCCATTATCCCAATACAACACAACCCGAATATACTAAAGTAGTTTCCATTTTCTTTTCAATCATCCTTATAACCCTACATAAGCCCAATATGCAGTACTCTATAGTACTGAGGTCACCGCCTTCTTTCTATTGGAGTGGTGCCTTCGCGTCCGAGTTTTTGGCCTGAAGTGGTTCAAGGACGCCAATGTTTATAAAGCCAACGTTTTACATTAGTTTTATAAAGCATTAGCAGTTTTATCGTACGAAGGCCTAAGCCAAAATGCTGATCCCTGAGCATAAGCTGTCTTTTTTGGAGCGGCGTAGAACAGGATAGCGAACACCTTCTGGATACCTTCATTGTGTGGTGCCCCGGCGTCATCGTTGTTTGGGTGGGCCCGGCGAATTTTCCAGATGGAACAAATGGGATTCCGACCGCACCTCCTTCGGGTGGATTTGAGGGCTTCCTCCACTAGCACAGAGCATGCATTATGAAGTACCCCCCTCCACAATACTAATATGATGCTAGAGAGTATTCGGGGGGCGGAGTGTTAAATGAAAGGGGGGACATTACAATCCCTCAAACCGAATGCTTGGGGAAAACCATCGACCCTAGACCCTACACAAACATATATGAATTCGTGGTCTGTGTGATAATGAGAGAATCCTGAACCCAAAAACCTAGCCATTGCCAGATTATGCAGCCGATGCAGATTGAGGCAGAAGCGTCCTCTCCTCGGCAGTTTGTTTTGTGTCTTCGGGATTTGAGGTGTGGGATTCAGGGTTCAGGTGTATATATATATATAT